TGAGTGCTCACAGGGCATTCAGTTCTGATCAGCTCTATGTGGTTGACCTCGGAGATCACCAAAGGTTATCAAACCTTTTCTCGTCAAATGAAACAATTTCTAGCAAAATGAACTGACATATTGATTTGGGGATGAAGTACACATTTTGACAGCAACAATCTTAGGGCAGATAAGATCAAATTCAACATCCATGGTCACCAGAAGTCATTGAAACTAGAATTAGTTGGTAGATTTCATGACCTGTATTGCAGACAAGCAATTGTATGCTTAGAGTTAAATTTCTACGTGCCTTTAACTTGGACATAAGCGTTAAAAGAATGGATGGAACAGATCTACAAGGTTATTGATAGTAACTGAAGATAAATTTGCGTTTAAAGTAACTTCTTCGACAAAATAAAAATATTAAATAACTAGTGTATTTTATTTGTAAAATGTTCCGTGATCTTAAAAAAAAGTTTTCAGAAACTTTTTAGAAGTATTTCAGGATTATTTTTTTTTCAGCAGCTCTAAAGGTAAAAGCCAATTCAAAGCTATAGAAACTTTGTGTGGCTTTGCTAATGACTCTTTTTTTTTCTCCAAAGATTAAATAAACACGTTTTAAATGCACCTTTTATCTGACACTTCCGATACGGAGTCTGTTCTGAAACGAAAATTTAGAATGCCTATCATGCTTCTTAGAAATCACGATCCTCTAAAGTTGATTTCCTCTACTTTGTTGAGTTGCCAAGTGTCCTTCAATACAGTCTTCAAAGAAAAATTAGGATGCCTAACAAACGTCTCAGAAATCTCTGCCCTCCAAAATTGATTTTCTCTACCTTCTGAAGCAATCAGGTGTTTTTCCATACTGTCATCGTCAAAAACTTCGGACGCCTATCATGGTTCTTAGAAATTACCACAAAGCAAAGTTTTCTGAACATTCTTCAGTTGCCAGATGTTTCTCCCTACAGGTTTTAACGAAAAGTCAGGAGGCCTATCACGGTTCTTAGAAATTATCACAAAGGTTTCTCTATTTTCTACAAATACCAGATGTCCCCCCTACAAGCTTCAAGGAAAACTTAGGAGACCTATTATGGTTCTTAGAAATTGCCACACACCAAAATTTTCTCTATTTTTTTCAGTTGCAGATGTTCCTCCCTGCAGGCTTCAAAAGTTAGGAGGCTTATCATGATTTCTAGAAATTACCACACACCAATGTTTTCTCCACTTTCTTCAGTTGTCAGATGTTCCTCCCTACAAGCTTCAAGGAAAAGGTAGGAGGCCTATCATGCTTCCCAGGAATATCTATCCCCCAACATTTATACTTTTCTAATTTCTCGGGCCGCCAGTTTTTATTCCTCACATGCTTCAGCGAAAAGTTTGAATTCCTTTTATTCTTCTCTCAAATCTCAACCCTCCAAAACATATCGAATGGGACTGTCCCCATATGTCAATCACGTTCTCTAACACATTTTATCAATTTTATCGACGTAGACAAAATGGAGAATGTGCTCATTCCAAGAATCCTCATTTTTTTTTCAAGTGACTTGCCTTTAGAATTTAAGATTCTTATGCTCAACAACATGCACAAGAATAATTTCTCAAGTTTTCCGATTCCCTTTGATTTTCTTGTTGCTAACTCAATAATATTTCCATGGAAAAGGTTCAGACGAACACAATTGTTTAATTCCAACAGTTATGACCTTCATTATAATGAATCGCCTCGGGCACTTCGAGGTGGTGTAATGGTTAACAAGTTTGTCTTGCTAGAACAATTACGACTGAGTAATGAGTTCGATCCACACTGGATGCATCATACTTTCGGCCTTGTGCCACATCTGTGCTACGCTTGGAAAATTAATTTGGGCACCTCGAGGCGGTGTAATGGTTAACAAGCTTGTCTTGCTAGAACAATTACGACTGAATAGTGAGTTCGATCCTCACTGGTTGCCTCATATTTTCGCTCTTGTGCCACATCTAAGCTACGCTTGGAAAATCACTATAATGATTCGCCTTCATTCTCTTCGTATTCCATTGGTGAGATGTAAATTCCACTTCTTCTCAGGAACCGCTACTTTGTGAAACCGACTCCCAACAGAATGTTTCCCCGATTACTACAACCTTAACCTGTTCAAATCTAGGGTTATCTTCCCCCATATATCTCCATAAACAGTACCTCTTACTTTGCAACCCTCTATCTCGATGGGTTATTGCGCATTGTACTGGGTGAATATTAATATACAAAAAAGTTTGTTCCACATTAATGTAAAAAAATGTTTGGGTCCCCAAACAAACTTTTAATACTGGCACCCAAAGAGACATACATCAATGAGATGTACCCAGAAGTCTTCTCTAAGGTTGTACATTTCTTTTTTTGTTTGTTTGTTTGTTTTTTTCTAACAACTATTTTGTGGCAATATATACCAGGTGCTATGAAATTGTTAGAACTACAACACATTCATTCCGATCTTTTTATGGTTACCTAAATCCCTCTGCCTCTTTTATACTCTCTCCCTCTCTCCTTCTCTCCCTCTCTCTTTCTGTGTGCGTGCGTGTGTGTGTGTGTGTCTCATATCCTTTCAGTAAGTTAGAAATTATGGCTCTTCACATCTTCCTGTTTATTATTTCTCTTATATACACGAAGCACATGCCGGCATGACTAAATAATTTCCTTCAATAACCTCACCAGACACGATTTTTATCTGGTACACTACGCTTATTATTTTTTAACCGTGGAACGACCACTTAATTGTTGTTGTCTCCAGGTCTACCCTGACCCGTCGTGGCAGCAGCTTTTAGGGCCCCAACTATGGACAAATAGTAAACCCCCAAAGAAAAACAAAACAATATGAAATAATAAAAATACATATTCATATCAAAATGACCAACATATATTTTATCGATAGTTGAAGGCATTGCGTTCAAAATATTTAGATTTCGGCATTAAATGACCCATAGAGATGTTGATAAGCCGCTAAATAAAATCAACCACATCAAATTTATTATTTTTCAGATACCTTTCTCCACAAAACAATTACTCTGTTCAGGGAATAAAAAGAATAGCCTCGCTTTTTTATAATAATGTTCACCTAATACAAGACCCAAGAGCCACTCAATAAAGGAAGTGTGGTGTTGTATGAGCGTAGGAAAATACAAGAAGTGAAGTTGATGGAGCTAGGCAGTAAAGATAACGGCTAACTCTAGACCTGAAGAGATCAAGATCGTAGCGATTGGAAAAGCATTCTCTTGGGAGTCTGTTTCACAAAGCAGAAGTTCTTATAAAAAAAAACTGCCCGAGTGGAACTTAATAATAGAATACAAAGAAAATGTGGAGTATTCAAGCCTGGGCCTAGTTTATACATTAAAAAATTCCAATCGCCATGACTATTCTGGATGGCATATTTTATACTTTGTACCAAAGAGTACCCCGAAAGTGTTAATTTCTCCAATCTTTCTTTCCCCGTCATGTAACTATTTCTCCAGCAATCACAGCCAGATAAGAGTATCGATAGCAAATAAAAACCCAGATATAATATTGATCCTGACCTGGCACCTCGGCTTCAGTCACTTTTCCACCACCGCAAAGTCCCTTTTCTATAAATACATTCATGGCAATTCGTTCTGAGGAAATTTCATCTATGGTAATCATTGTAAATATTCAATGGAGTTTCATTTTTTAAATTTGTTATTTTTATTCCCTCACCCCAGACAAATTGTACATATGAGAACTAATGATTACTACATAGAGACCTTGAGGTATTATGGTGACTGTAGTAAGGATAGTAAGAATGTGTTGTTTCGGTGTAAGGAATACTGTGGTATGTTTGAGTCAGTAATCGTGGATAGCTAAGTTTAATATAAGACAGAATGAAGACCAACCTTCCTCTATCCCTCCTTATGGCCTTGTGCCACATTTTTGTATTTTTCAAAATAAATATCACTTTCCTTTCGGCTACCTAGACTTTATGAATTTAAGCACACTACTAGATAGACGATAAAGTTTCATCCTTTCTACTGTTGAAATGTCTAGATTTAACCTATGCTAACAGTTTCTTTTCTCACACTTCTCATTCGTGGAACTCTCTTCCGACTTCATGTTTTCCAGTCAACTTTAAATTTAAATGCAATATCAATCATCATCTTTTGTCATTTGTTGTTCTATCTTCTTAACAGTTTTTTGTTTGTTTTTTTTGTTTTTTGTTTTTTTTTTTTTTGGTTTTTTCTTCATATTCTCTAATACTCAGTGTCTACGTTCGCTTTATTGCCTTGCTTGAGGTGGAATGATTTTTTTTTTAACAAAGCCCCCATTTCTTTTTTTTCAACATGTTATTATTCGACTCCTTAATATTAAAATTAGTTTCTGGAATAATATATTTTGCCACGCCTAAATTATTTAAAAAAAAAAAATCTTCAAATATTTATGTCACACACGCTGTCGTCTGTTTTTATTCTTTCCAGATATTTGAATTGATGGTACTAAAAATCATTCAGAACAGACATTTACAGGACCCATACTCTCAGATTAATATTAAAATTAATATAATAAAATGTTTGAAACGCGAAATTCATCCATGGATATCCTACATTTTCTCACAAGTTGAAAAATTTAAATAATTTCTTTTAGACCTCCGATATGAAAAAGGACTGATTGGACAATCGGAAGAGTCAAGAAGCAAAAACGCTACAATAGTAGCAATATATAACGGTCTTCCACGCATGCGTACTGGAAACCCATAAACATCTCTTCTGTTCAATGTGGCATTGGCTTGCGTCGGTGGCCTTTCACCGACAGACATGACGACGGCGTCTACGTAGAGGCATCTGTTCGTGATAACTCATGATACCGGCTTTAGTCAACCAGTCCCGAAACTCTGCTAAATAGTATGGAGATGCGATGAAGACGGACTCTCGTTCTTTCTTTCTTGTGTTGAAGCTAGGAAGAATCGATTTTAAGTAGAACTTTTCGGTCGATAAGGGATTGGTGTCGATTCCAGCTTTCTCCTGCCACTGATGCAACACATCAGCATTCCCGCCACTGTCTTTCGCTCTTATTTTCTTTACTGTTCTCTCTTTTCTCTCTCTCTCTCTCTCTCTCTCTTTACCTGTTGTTTCGTTTTCATTTTCCTCTTTCTCTCTTTATTGTTCATGTTTCTTTCTTTTTACCTTACCTTTTTCTTTTATTCTACCTGTCATCTTTTTCTTGTCTTTCTTTTCTTCTGTCTCTTCTTTCCCAATCAGCCTCCCCCCCCGACACTTTTCTTTTTCTTTGCCTATTTCTATCTCTCTCTCTCCCGAGATTTGTGCCAGATTAAACCGTAGTTAATAAACCGCCATAAAGAAACACGTCTCAGAATAAACACGTTTAAGAAACGAAAGAGATAACAAGAATTGCCTTGAGCTCGATTCTCGCTGGTGGAGCGCAACCTCCGACCTTGTGCCATACTAATGCCATCTTAGTATTTAAATTTGAGTGGCTCCTGTGATAGTTAACAAGCTCCCCGGGTCTACATATTAGTTTCTTTTTCGCTTTCCTCTACGCTCGCCTACATTAATCTTTCTTCTTCTTCTTCTTCTTCTTCTTCTTCTATTCGTAAACTAGTTTTTCTTTTTCTTTGTTTCGCCGATTTCTACTTTGATTTCTCCATCACATTTATCTTTCCCTCTTATTTACTCTTTCTCTCTCCCTCTCTCTCTCTCTCCCTCTCTCATTTTCTCCCTCTCTCTCTTTCTTTCTCCCCCTCTCTCTCTCTCTCTCTCTCTCTCTCTCTGATACTCCTCTCGAGGAATTTGCTGGTCTTCTGGTAAGAACCATTTAAATACAAAAGAAAAGCTGCTCTCCCTCTCTCTCTTTCTCTCTCTTTCTTTCTCCCCCCTCTCTCTCTCTCTCCTTCTCTCTCTCTTTCTTTCTCCCCCTCTCTCTCTCTCTCTCTCTCTGATACTCCTCTCCAGGAATTTGCTAGTCTTCTGGTAAGAACCATTTAAATACAAAAGAAAAGCTGTTCGAGTCGCAACTATGCTTACTCCCACCGACGCAAAAAAAGAAGAGAGAACAGACATTTAAAGTAAGCAAATGACCCATTCAGATAGAAAGCAACATGGGCATCATATCCTGACCGTTCGAATTTCAATTGGCCAATCAAGAACAAATGACAACACCTCGAATAATAAGGACACTTGACCAAAGCAAACTTGCAAGACAGATGGCTGAAATTAAAGAGACTTTACAGGAAATGACGACATACTGAAACCGGCAGCCATGTTTTCTTTAAAAGTCAAACTACTTTGTCACGAGATGCGAATTTAAGCAATAAAAACTATATACCCAAGTTTTTTATTACAAGTTAAGAGCAAGTCACAGAGTAAACTAAATCTAATAAATATTTATAATGGTACTTAGAACTAGGAAAACACACAATCATGTGTCAGTACGCTAAGTACAGGGTGGTCCGAAATTCTTGTCACCCCCTGACTTCTCTTCCAAACTGTAGGAGCTCGTGTCAGCCATCTGAAATAGAAAATTACAATATGTAGAGGTGACAAGATTTTCGGACCACCCTGTACATCAAAAAGGCCGTAGCCTAATGTTGAAAGTGCATTCTCTTATTTTATTAACATAAATTAATTTTATGAAAAAATTATTCATTTTTCAACACTGTAAAGAAAACCACACGGACATTTAAGCCTGTAATGAAGTTTTATTAAATGCAGCTTGACTACAGCCCATTTGTGTGGTTTGATCATTACTTTTATAGTCGAGTAATTTGAAAGGGAGACAACTATGGTTGCCTTCACCACAAACCTATTGAAAATGATTACAAGTAAAATTTATTTTCTTTAAAATTGATTGATTCATTTATTTTCTCTGACTTATCAAGCTTTTGCAGTCTATTTAAAGCCAGAAATATTTTTAGAAGATAAGAACTGGGGAGGCATAATAATGATTTAGTAATACAAGTATTAATATTTAATCCGTAACTGTGAGGAGAAGAGATGGATTCATACCTAATCAGAATTTGATAAACAAAGAAGAACTTATAATGTAGATATAAGTCGGGGATCAATTCTATATTACAATCTCTATATAAATTAATCCCTCACTTTGTGACCAAGGTAGTTTATATACATTCATATTCTAGAGAATGTAAATGAATCTAAAAGGCATGCCCGTATATCTAATCAGTATTTCATTGATTGAATCTTTTTTTACGGTTTATCAACACTTTGTAGGTTATGTAAAGCCAGGAAATATTTTTAGATTGTAAGAATTTTTATTATAATAGTGATTTAGTGATAGAAGTCTTACTAAATGACTCATGACTGAAGGTTGAAGAGGTTGATTCATACCCTTCTCAATAGGGAACATTGTAGTTTTAATATTCCACATTTTTTGTTATTTCGATTTACAAGTTCTTGTAAGTTGAAAATCTTTGAAATTATCTTTTAGAAACATCGAAATCCTGAGGCCAAGTCATATCAGTTGGCAGTTCTCTTTAATCTTTTATAATTGCCTGGTCTATTTGCATTATTTTTCCTACGTGGATTGGGACATTCCACAGTCTAGTCACTCCATCACCGTTGTGACATCATCATCATCATCATCATCATTATTATCATTATTTCCTTTGATTTCTGGTGTGTACTCATTTCTTTCCGGGTCCCGCTCAGAGACCTTAAGGTCAGAAATGGCATCATGAGATTTTCTACTGAGTAATTAAACACACACACACACACACGTCCATAGATAAATCCCTTTATAAGGTATGGGCTAAACTCGTGTGATCAATATTTTGTATTTCTTTAAGCCATGGGATTCCAGGAATCTATTCAATGAGTCTTTTGGAATATTTTCTAACAAAACCGAGGGATCCAACTACAACAGGTATTGTTGATGTTCTTATGGGCCACATTTTTGAGATTTCGATTTTATTATTATTATTATTATTATTATTATTATTATTATTATTATTATTCTATGTTTCCTGCTTTGTATCCTATAGAGACGGGTCCAAATTATGATCCTTAGCACTTTTCTTAGTATGTGGGATGTTCCAAGTAGGTCGATTTTCTGGGCAACTTTTATGATGATGTTACCTGGGATACGGTTAGTATCATCTGTTTCACCAGTTTTTCTTAAGAGATATGTAATATCATCAGTGAACCATTCTGGGGTTTCGTTGGGATTATTAATTAACAAGGATAACGTTTGTGCAGGGGTTTTATGGATTGATGACAAATGATAAAGACAGAAATTGGGTACCTGGTCATTTCTTGTGAATTCCCATTTTGGGGATTTCCTTACAGCTTGCTTAACATTATTCTTGGTTATATTTTCCCATTCGTGTACAACTTTATTATTATTATTATTATTATTATTATTCTCGCGGTTTTTGGTTTTCAACCTGATATACTGCATTATCAAGTCGTACGACTTCAGACAGATAGAATCATTCTTAGAATATGTGCAGTACTAAGTAGCGCAAACTTCAGAAAAGATACTAGGTTTTATTCCGGTGTTCATAATGTAGGACTTTAAGTTCCGTTGTCCGTCCTGGGTAAGACGATAAACTACATCTGGCAGAAAGACTCTGATCGAGAAGTTTTGAGAAGCGTGGAACCACCTCTTAATTGTTGTTGTTTCCAGGTCTACCCTGACCCGGTGTGGTAGCACCTGTTAGGGTTCCAGGTATGGGCAAATATTAAATCCCCAAAATGCGGTAAAAACACTATGAAACTATAATTTTTTAATAAGAATTTTTTTAAGAAATAAAAAAAATTACCAGCAGTACATATTTGTAAATGAACTTACTAGTGCTACTAAGAAAATTAAATTTCGGCATTAAATTACCCATAAAAATTTCATATGCCGCTAAATAAAACAAATTAAAAAAATTAAAAAATAAGTTCCGAAGTATAGGCCCCAGTACTCGAATGATATCTGGGCCAATAAGGCTTGGACTTCTAATATTCTGAATTCGGTGTATTTCTTAAGCTTGTATGTTCTTTAACCTTAATGTTATGGATACCACAGATATAGTAGCCACGTCGATGAGGAAACATTTTCTTTTTTTTTTTCCTTTCTTTTTTGTTCGTTTGTTTGATATTTTTTGTTTGTTTGCTTTTTAAGTTTTTCTCAATAGTGGTGATGTCAGATTTGATTACCTAAAGAACGCGGCCTCTTTCGATGGTGAGTTATCAATAGCCGTTATTAACAACTTTTAATCATCGTACGTGAATGCGAGATCCAAACATATAGACGCTCTGCTAGATACTGAACCTAACTGTCCTTTTTTATCTTTTGAGATATCGATAATTTTTGTTGTACTGGTGTTTAAACATCGGCATCTTGCATCGGGAAGAAAAGATATCTTTATAGAGTTATACTTTCGCCATTCTTTTCGCAGCTTTCCATATATTTTCAACTTAGGTGAAAAAATTCCAGTCGACATTATCTTACTATTTACAGGGAAGCCAGGTAACTGAAAATTAAGCATCAAAGAAGAAAATTATCAGTGTATATTTATTTATATATTTCCTGTCCCATATGTAGTGTAAAGGGGAGTAAATCATCTTCAGTAAATTTATGAGTAATTACTTCCCTTGGCCGTTTTAATAATCTATACAAATAAAAGATTTATCTGCATTTAGACAAAATTAGTTTCCGAACAAAAATAAGCCGATAAATGAATCAGTTCCTTTACTCCTACGTTTATTAAATTGCAGTCTTATTTGTTCAATTGTTTCATGTGAGGCACGCAGATGCATTTTTCTGTTGTGTATTAGACTTACTTAAACTTAGTCTTGAATAAACCTTATCGCCGCTGTCATTATTGTCATGTTGCTAATATTTTTCTTTGAAGAGATATTTCATTTCATTGTTATATTAAAAACATGGACATTTTAACATGAATAGATATTAAACAAAAAGAAGTAAACGAATTATCGAAGCAGATAATTATCAATGTATTAGAACGAAATATATATATATATATATATATATATATATATTAAGTTAAAAGTAAAAAATAAAACCACCCTTGATAATGGCTAAAAGTATTAAAAGTATAACCGAAAGAGCTGGGACATACATTCGAACAATTTCTATATTATTTAATAAAAACTAAACAAAAACCTTTCAGTTGTTTTTTTAATGAAACTTGTATAAAAAGAGGGATTGTTGCCCAAATGCACAATATATATATATATATATATATATATATATATATATATATATATATATATATATAGGGAGGGACACATGCGTGTCCATAAAAGTTGAGCACTTCGTTATTTTACTGAGACCTCATTTGTCGTCCGCGACGAGAGAGTCCACTATATATATATATATATATATATATATATATATATATATATCGTTCGTTTCAGCCTTCCCAGCAAGACAATAATGTCACTAGGAAGCAAGGGGGTTTCAGGGAGTGAAAGAGAATGAGAAGGCCTTATTTAGGAGAAGTAAGGAAAGGACAATAAAGGATACGGGTTTAGGACGAAAGAAAAAGCCAATTCACGTTGCATTTAAATTTTAGAAGATTGTAGTTGGCAGGGAAGCAATAAAAGGAACACCTGCCCCCGCCCCCGTAGAGATTCCGAAGTCGTCTGGAGGACATGGTTGAAGAAAATGCCGATTTTATTGAATGATTTTACTCCTTAAGTATTTCAATATATTTTTGTGCAATTTTTTAATAAATGTATCTGTTAAAATGATATGTCTGTGTTACTTTCAATTTTTGAGTAAGTTAGGCGACAATTATCCATCGCACCCTATATATATATATATATATATATATATATATATATATATATATATATATATGTGTGTGTGTGTGTGTGTGTGTGTGTGTGTGTGTGTTTCAGGAAGGCAGAAAAAAAAAGCCAATTCGCGTTGCATTTTGGAAGATTGTAGTTGGCAGGGAAGCAAGAAAAAGGACCCCCATCCTGAAGAGATGCAAGAGATTC